GAACTGCACCAAGTTACCAGCATGAGAAACCAAACTTTCTGCAATGTATTTCTGAAAATGTTCAACTTCTATAGTTATCATAAGAAAGTAATAGTAAGGAATTTGTTTCTTATGCCAGAGAGCAAGTGAGAAGAGAAGATGCCATGAACTGTGGTCATGACCATTATCTGGGCACAGAATTAGGCTGGAGACAGCTAACTTCCAGAGCTGGGCATTCATCCTAGAGAGGCTCAAATGGAAACAGCAGGGCTGTAGGAGGTCCAGTTTCTTGAACAGGCAGATTTTGACCCATGACAGGAGACTTTGTTTCATCTTAACAGTAGAAATAATAGAAATTAGACATGACCCCATAAGTGCACATTGAGGATGATTATCTAGTCCACTGGTCAGGATAGATGGCAGGAGTCCCTGAAAGCAAGGGCCCCACAATGCACACATGTACCAGCCAAATGCTAAATGGTGGGCAGGAAATACATGAGGAGATGATGTGGACTACAGCCTTGGATAAGCAATGCCAGTGGCTTTGTGGATATGTGAGATGGGATGGGATTGGAGAACAGTAAGGGAGACATCTGCAAAGAACTGAGATAATATGGCTAAATGGAGGTGAGGGTAGAGGTGAAACCCACATGTGTAAGAATGGATGGAATCTAGATCAATCACACTAGCACATGTGAGGACGTAGGAAGGAAGTTGAATCTGGGAAGAGGATGCATTTAGAGTGGGGTATTGCCATTCTGGAGCCTGGAGGGGTGAAAGAGCAGTAAGCAAGATGAAGTCTGGGTGGATTCTGCCATCAGAGCCCCTGGGCATAGATCTTCTTGCCTTCTTTTTCACACTTTTGCATGCCTCTGGCTCAAAGGTATTTTGTTGGGGACGTACAGAACATAGGGTTGCAGAGGACCCCTGCTCAGAACACCCTTTAAGTCTGATCAGAAGGAGCTGGTGGATAGAGAAGGGGAGAAGAGACAGTCCTTAAAGCCATTCCTGCCCTGCAGTTAGGCAAGTAGTGGAAAGGGCGGCAGAAAGGTCAGTCATTATAGATGTGAGACCTCACATCCATACTCCAGAGCTTCGTCTCAAAAACCAGGACATTGGAGTTGTTTGTATGTAAGCTGCCTCTTCCATAAGACTAAAAAGACTGAAATGGCAATACCTTCCTTGAACAAGCAGTAGCGAATGCCAGCTATGTAGCATTCACTTCCCAGGAGAAACCCCATCCATTTGTGAGATGTCTAGGTACGGAACAATTTTAATAGCCTCTGGCTTTGGCCTCTACTCAGGAGATGACCAGTACTCAAGCATTAACATGCCCAGGTGTTCTGTGGGGGACCTGATCCTCCTCTTGCCTTTCCTTTGCTGCCCCAATCCTGTGATTCTCTTGGTAGCTGAGCCACTGGGTTAGGCTGTCCTTCATTAAATGCCAGAGCTATAGGCTCTAGCCTCTAGCCTATAGGTCATTGCAAACCATACGTAGGCAAGTTCATAAAAGAGTAATGACTTGGGGCTGGGATTGTGGCTCAGCGGTAGAGGGCTCATCTAGCACATGCGAGGCCCTGGGTTCAATCCTTAGCACCACATAAAAATAAACAAATAAAATAAAGGTATTCTAAAAAATAAATGTTTTTAAAAAAAGAGTAATGAATTGATTGTAACTAACATATTAATATGACTTAAGGCATACCCATAAACGTCAAGCTACAACATATTTCTAAATTCTCCTAAAAACAAACCGAAATCATTTACCTTCATTAGAAAACTGTCACTGTCCTTAGACTTGAAAGGGAAGCATATTTCCTTTCTCTCATTTCAAAAATCTCAAGTAGGTTTTAGCCTGTCTCTCAGGTGAAACAGCAGAGTTTATAATGATATACACAGGTAGATGCAAACTGAAATGTGTTCTTGTGGGCATGCCCCCCCCCCCGCCTTTTTTTTCCCCCTGCAATGTTCATCAATTTGGCAATCTGAATAGGACTCAGAATCCAAGGTGCTCACATCATTCTATATGAAAAATTTCACAAGACGTTTGGAAACAGAAATTCCCACCAAATGAGTTAAATTTGATTCTTGATAAGAAAAATGTATTTCATGAAGTTTAGAAAACTTGGGAAAAGACTTCAATGCATTTTTTGTTATCTATGCCTTTTCATAAAACTATGGCTTTAAATTCGGGGCAAAATTTACTAAAGAAATGAGGAACAGGCTGAGAGTGAATCGCCCGATGACTTCCAGGATCCTACCCCCCCATGACTGCTTCTAAGAGGAGCAAAGGTTGAACGGTATGATAAGCCTTAGATGTAGGAGCAGAGCAGCGCTGCACCTGCACAGCTCTTCAAAGGAGCCATGAGGTTCTTATGGCCTGTTTCCCAGCTTGCCAGCAGCAGTGTGGGAATATTGCCAGGCACTATAGCCAGCTCATGGAGCTTGAGGCACTCTCAGTGATCACTGGGTATGTGCCTCCCTTCAGTCTTTGTTCTGGCCCCTACCTGTATGGACAGTGAGGAATGTAGGCTTTGTTTTGAGGTCCACCCAAGGGGTGGAGCAGGGGAGGTCATATTGGCCACACCCTTCACGTCATGGGTTGGCAGTCTCTTCATTGTTTGAGAGACTGTTGGTAAGTGCATTGTTACTCCTGTGTACCCGTGTACAGATGAGTGTAACTGCATGAGCATGTGTGCACACCTGTGTGTATTCACGTTTACACAACTGTAGTAACCTACACACTTTCCAGTGCCTCTCAAGCACCACAGACCTGGCTTCCAAAAAGCCTGTGCCAGCCAAGGAAAGATGGAAGGGGAAACTGTTCTGAAGGCTGATTGTCAGATACTAACTAGATAGGGTCTTCGATTTGCATGTTTACATGTTAACCACCAAGATGGAAAATTCCAGAAATTTACTTTGACCTCATATTTCCTTGCCAGCAAAACGGTGATGGTGCCTATCCCCTTATGGTGCAATGATGCCCTAAGGTTCAATTCAAGGTTGTTTATGGAAAGTGCTTTATAAGCACTGACTTTTGCAAAGCTCTGATTGATTGGCCACCACAAGACACTGGAGTTAGCTTAGAGTTTTGCTGTTTATATCATTACTTGTCCATACAGAATAACACATACTTCTTTTTCTGAACACAGAAGGTTGTATGCATGAACGTGAATGGTGCATGAGCAAGAGTGCATTCTTCTCAATTCACCTTTATTGGGCAGAAGTAGAACAACTTGACAGTTACACTTTTAGTTTTCAACTTTTTGTCATTTTTAAGGAATTAAATATTTAAGACAAAAATGAGGCTAATTTGAATTACACTAGGCAAAGATCTGATTGCTTTGGAAAGTGATTAGCATTTAATGTCTAGTAATGCACTGTCATAGTCTTTATAGTAAATGGTAATGCACACAATAGAAAGCATTCTGACAAGATTGCATATTTCCAGGCTTATGGATAGCTTACCCAACACTGCACAAGTCTACATTTCTAATGGTGAGGCCAATGTGAGACAGACTGTATGCACTTCTAATCTCTTTGCTCCTTTACTTCTCAGTTTACCAGTGACCATGTGTAATACCTCCACACTGCCATGATTATTAGTGAATATACAGCAGGTGGCTATGGTGTGGCTGTGTGGCCAGAGAGCTAAGTTAGGAAGTTAGCTTCCCAAATCAAGTCACATTTAAGCACCACATCTGCACTATCATCACTACCAGAAGCATCTCTGTGTTCTGTCATTTAATCAGAATTTTATACCGTTTTTGCCTTTTGTAGTATCACTGTCTTAAAACGTAATTCCCTTTAAAACACATTTGCCTTTTCTCCCATTATTTAAGATGGCAGATGTCCCTGCTCCCCAGACACAGAATAACTGAAGTTGAAGAGTTTATATAAACATTTGGAGCTCAGTGAAGATGACAAGAACAGCAAAGGTTATAATAAAATTGGTATTATATTATTTGCTATTTGAGGACATCAATCACATTGCATCCATAGGATTTAGGCTATCAGGGAACAAAATTAATGGATGATGAGCAAGGGTTTGTTAGGACATAATTAAGCCAGTCACTCCGAGAAGCAGGTTTGAAAGTGTCCCTCCAACTGCATTTGCCCATGATCCCCATATTTTACAAAGTTTTTCATGGGGAAAAATGAAAGGTCTGTGGTCAGGTAAGTTTGGAAAACAGTGGAGCTTGATAAATAGCTCTGTTTCCTAAGGTCACTTCAGAATCCTCTCCGCTGATTCAGCAGTTCATCCAACAGGGTTAATTTAGCAGCTGCATTGTGCACATAACTCTTGTAGTCACTAGAATATGACTCTTGGAGAGAAAAACGTGTGTGTATTTGTGGTTGTACATGTGTGCACACACCTGCAATGCCCATGTGCAGAATCTACCAAGTCTTAGGAAATAGGTCCCTGGAAACAAGTCTTGTGGAACAGTTAGAACCTGAACATTTGAGGTGGTGATACCGTTTATGAAAGCAGCTGCTAAGGAATACCAACAGAAATTGGTAGCTCATTCTGGAAGTAGGGGAAAACAGTTTTCCCCCACCCAATGTGTTGCATGGAAAAATTTTCATTTTCTATGTTTCTAAGAGAAAGCTGAATAAAGAACATTTGCAATACGCTCCACCCGTGGAAAAAAGCATACTGCTTTTGTAGAGGTACATGGCCTCACTTGAGATGCTATGATGAGGCTGAGATCTTAAACCAACACTAATGAAAGGTTTCTCACAGTTCTGAAATGTTTGGGGTTACTGCCTCTAAGATGTTGAAGTCCTCAGAGCTTGCTCCAACTACCCTTTGTGGTGTAATGCTCTGAGTTCAGATTCTTAGGAAATAATGTCATGGTCTAAGCAATGCTTTTCTGTTGCTAGAGAGCCAACAATAGATTATTAGGTACCCAGTCATTTTGAGTAATAGGATGCTTTTAAAAATAATGCTGTCTTTAACTCTCACTGTATCTCTAATGGTATTACAATCCAGCTTCTTTTTGCCTTGTTTTTTATTGCAGTTACATATGGGGCTGATGGCTTTAGGGATTTTCATGCAATAATTCCCAAATCTTTCTCTCGTAAGTATATGTTTTGCTTCTAGAAATGGAAACATGCTCATTTCATATTCAGTTTCCATCGTGTCAGTACTGTGAATTGCATGTTCTATCATCCACACTTTCCTTTGCACTTGAAAAAAATGTTATCTTATTTAACTTATCTGTTAAATGTTTACCGTCCTGTCCATGAAACATCTACCATCCGGGACATTTCATCTCTTAAACAATGAAATGCCTCAGTGGGGTTTAGATAGTTGAGAGATGTGCTGGTGAGCATGCTAGTGAGCAAAAGCAAAGAGAGGGTAAGGGTAGTACTGATGGAACTGTTGTTCATTGATGCTGTTGAACAGTTTTTGGTTAATTTTTTAATTATCTCCTTTTTATCAAGTGCAATGAAAAAAATGGCCATACTTTTTCTTTCACCATCAAACGTTTTCAAGATAATTTTTACAATTTTGGAGGACAGGAGAAAGAAATATACTGGCTTCCTCTTGCTCTGGAGTATTAATTTCAGAACTGAGAGAAGAAATCATAGGCTTCCCGGCCATTCTCCAGGGTGCCTCGCGGTGTAAATAAGCACAGGGTTTCCACATGGTGTGGGTGGGACATTCTCTGGTCAGAGCTGTTAAACCAGAAGCAGATGTTAATTTCATTTTTCTTTTCTGATAAATGATAAAATGCATTTGGGCAATGCCTTACAGGAGTACTTTAAAGAATAGAGAATGTAGTTTTTTTTTTTTAAACATGCACAGAGATCTGAATATGAAAGTATTACAAGTTGGTAACTCCCTTAGGACTTGAGTCTTTGGATCCCCTGTTTCTAAATATTACAAAACAATATCAGAAAACAGGGGGAAAAGTGAGTTCATATAAATATGTTATGAACATATTTTTATAAATATGTAGACAGAAAGTATCAAAATACATATCATGACTCATAAAAG